CTTCTGTGTATCTCAAAATATAAAGTGCTTTGGAAGAAACAAGGTAGGTGCCTGAGGTGGGGAAGAAGAGAAAGAGATTTATACATATACAGAAAAAACCTACACTGCCTTAACTAATCATTGAAATATGCTTGTGACTTTGTACAGAAGGTGATGTTTGTGTAAAAGAGTTACATAACCCATTACTAAATTTTTTAACAATTAAGAGCTAATCAAAGTCCAAATTAAAACTTACCCATGCAAATGCCATCAGGAATGACTTTTTTGATTTTGAATCGTGTGGCAAATACATCAAAGAAGCTCAGTCTCATGATCTGAATATGGAGAGGATGCCGAATGTCATGACGGGACCACCCTACCTGTGCGTGACCTGCAGGTGGGTCAGAAAGACCTCACGGGGCGGCTAAGTGAAAACCTGTGACATCATTCGTGTTCCAGCGAAAGCACAAAAGTCATGTTTAGAAAGGAAAAATGAATCCACTGGATTTTTTTCTTGCTAGTAGGGAGCTACGAGAGACTGATTTACGAATCTGCGTCTGACTATTTCATCATGGTAAAGTCTTTCTTTGTAGCGGGTGTCTCTTTCAGTGGATAACAATGTGCTATATACAGAGGGGTTAAAATTGTTTTTCTTCTTTTCACATTATTGAACTGGCAATTGCTGGGCATGGCCTGCAGTCTACAAAACCGGGTATCACATATATCCAGCTTGGGAGGCTCCCCTGGCAACTAGAATTATCCTCCTCCCAGTTCATGAACATTTGAAAGACCCATTATTTTTCAGGAAATAAATGGAATGTAACTTTTCACGAGTACAAAATTACTTCAAGTTTTCTAAATATAAGGGACATCCCACTATAAAAATAATAGCCCTCCCACCCCTCCCCCACCCTCCATCTCTTTCTAATTATAAAATGGTACAACCATTTCGGATTGCTAACATGAAAGCAGGAAGTCAATATATTATTATGTACATGTACAAAACATGTCAGTATTTCACACCATTTACATTCATATGAAAGAAGTCTATTTAATGATCTTCCTTTGCAATTTGAAAAGAATCAAGTCGAGATAAGTTACAAAACAATCAGGCCCTTGCCTTTTAACTCTGCACAAACATTCCAGCCAGAAGCATCTTCTCGCAAACAGAGCCAACAATATGCTTCAACATTTTGCAGAAGGGCTGTCGACAGTGAGATCTTCGAGGGGAGGGTTCTTCAACTCTTCAGCTGGTGACATTTCTTCTTCTTTTAATAAATCAAATGCTCAGCTACTGAGGAAATTGGGTGATAAAAGGCAAATAACTAATTGTTGAGGAAGTGGTGACGCTAGACAAATTAGTTGGCTGAAAGAATAATGGCGATTAATCCAGCAGGGGGCGCCCTGCCCCTTGCAATAACATCCTATCAAACAGTTAAGTCCCGTAGATGCCAACACAAATGCAGACCAAGTCCCTGTCTGTAGTCCTTCTTCAACTGCTCTACTACCTATTAGTACAGGCAATAGTTTGATATATATATATATATTTTTTTTTTTTTTCCAAAAAAGCGGGGTATACTTTAAGTAGCTCGTATACATGAAGATTCTTTGGCTATTTAAAATCGTCACATTCTCCAAGAGAACAATATTCTGAGTTCAGTGAAGCGCTAGATTTGTCTAAAACTTTTGAGGGCAAAGGGGCCTAAACACTAGACTTTAAAGATGCTGTGGTACTAAGGCCACGAGACGTTGTTTCAGATTTCTGGATTTAGTTAGGTCGGTCACCAGCCTGCAAGAGAGCCGCCCCTGCAGGCTTCCGTTTCTTCCCCGAGGCAGCCCACCTTCGCTTCTGCTTATGAGAACATTAAGGGAAAATTAAACTAGTCAGCGGAAGGAAAGCGTCCATCTGGATGGCGATCCGTCTTTGGTTTATAGAGCACACATGGTCCCCACATTTTCCCTGCTTCTCCAAGCCCTCCGCTTCGGTGAGGATGGCAAGGCAACGGCCTGCGGAACAGTGACTCCGGGTAACTCAGGCTGAGCTGTCTTCTTCTCTATGGACTTTCTCCCTTGCTCCGTTCAGACTTGGCCACCCCCTAAGAGATGCATATTCTCGACTTATCATATCATCAGCGAATATTTGTCAGGTGGCCACAGAGCGAACGGCTCTGTAGTAAGCGCAGACGTCACAAGGGTGAGAGATCTTTGATCACTGGGATGCCCGATAAAAGCCACTGGATGACGAAGACCCCATTCCGAGGGTGGTAAGGAGAGATGTGAGTGACCTCAGAAGCGTCTGTGCAGAACAAGCGGGCTTTGCAATCGGAGGGCTCGGTACTTACGGGTCCACATCTAGCATCTGGAATCGCTCCTTTAGTTTTGGGATGATCCTTTAGGGCTATCAAAGGCTCAGCGTGGAAGAGTGTGGCCACTGACCTACGGATCTTTACAAATTATCGTTCCTATTACGAGGGGCTTGGAGTTCTGGGATGGGGAGAAAAGCGGGCAAAGGAGAGAGATGGGGATGAGAAACTCACACCTGCTTCCCAGAGTTAATTTAGTTTTCAGGCCATCCCGACTTTCTTTGCAGTCATGAGCGTTTAACTCCTTAACTCACTCACACACACACACACACACACACGAGAAAACCAGGGGATGGGCATTTACTGGGTGGAGCATACATGTCCATATCCTGCCCCTCTCCTGATGCCCTGCAGGGTGGAATTCATACTGCCCTTTGCCTGCGTCGCCAAATGCGCCCTTCGGTTCTGGCCCCGCAGTAGGGCGGGGGAGGATGAGGGACTTCTGGGACACAGGGAACTGCACGAGGAACCGTGTGTCCCTCACCTTAGGGGGATGGTTTCTGTGTGTCTCTTTTTCGGCCTTAAGGAAGAAGCGGCCTCTTAGAGCACTTACAAAGAGCGAGCTCTGTGCTTACGATGTTAAGAAGCATGGGTGGCCATGGTGCAGCCCACGCATTTTTCTAAGAACTCCTGACTCTGGGGCCCTGTGGTGAACTGGGGAGGTCACAAGAGCTGGAGGCGGAAGATGATAAATCTAGACAGCATTCTGGAGTTGTTTTCTTGTCATTGTTTGCCTAGGAGACTTTTCTGGCAAGGAAGCCCAGGGGGGAAAAAAAAAGCAACAGCTATAGCCGAACTGAGATAAAATATGAGAAGTGAAAACGGGGTTCGCTCCTTTACAGAGGAAGTTAATTGGCCTTTATAGTAAACTGGCTTTTGTCATCCAAAGCGCAAATATAGATATTGCCTCACGGTACAAAGAAGGAAACACCGACCACGGTAATCACGATGATGATAACGGCACAGATCTGGAGTCCCCAAGGTCTTTTTGTTCTGAAAGATGGGAGGGAAATGTGTGTGGGTGTGGGTGCGGGTTCAAAGAGAGAGACAGGCAGTCAGAGAGAACCAGAGGCAGAGAAGGGAGAGAAACCTAAGCGGAAGCATATATAATATTCTACCGGAAACGGCCTCCGAGACCTCAGAGACCCCAGCACCACGGAGGCCTGGGCCCTGGCTCCATAGAGGAGATGACTGTCTAGCCCAGATTTTCTGAAAGAGTTTGGATTTAATGGGATTTCTTTGCTTTCAGTCAGGGCGGTGCATTCAACAGATAACTAAATGCCATTTATTTTGTATGCTCTGCAAGAATTCTCAGCTAAATGAAACTCAGAAATAAGAAAGAATCGTATGTTACACTATCTGTCACCATTTTCAGCTCTGAAAACATGGCAGCCACAGGCGTGTCAGGGCACCAACCAAAATAGCCGCTGGGCATCACGGTTTCTGATATGACCAAACCCAGACCCATGATCGTCCAGAGATGTTTCTACCAGAGGGAGGCAGATGCTGAAAACAAGACAAAACGAACAAACCTCTTTGGACAGAGAGCCGCGCCTTCACGTGATCCTCACTACGTGACGTCAGAATAGGTGGGTAGCTGGGACCCTGTTAACTTCCCACTTCTCACACTCTCCATTCTTCCTGCCTAGACGATGCGATGGTCAGTTCAGGGGTGAACCAAGCCCTGCAGACTAAATCAATATTCAGATGCTGCACTCATGGTCAGGGCTCAGTTCCTTCCAAAGGGACTGGCCACGCAGGAGGTAGCAGTTCCTAGAGGTGACTCTAAATTATTCTGAGGGACTGGAAATGCTCCTTTTCTTGTCCATAGCCTCGGGGTGAGGGGGCAGGGGTGCAGTTCCAACTTCAAGTTGAGAGTTGGGTTGTGGCCAGGTGGTCATAATTCACCAAGTTGGGGATGGATGGTCACGGGCCCCAAAGACTTTTTCTCATTAAGGCCACACAAAGGTTTGTATTTGGAGTCAATATTTAACTTCCCACCTTTCCCTCCCAAATCCCCCGGGGCCGCCAGGACTGGGAGAAGGCCTTCTGCCACCCAGGAAGGACGGCAGCTAGGGGTTGAGGTAAAGCTGAATTACAATCTGGAATTCTGTTTGGCTCCTGAGTGCCACACATCAGTCTGAGGGGTTTGCCGCAGAAGTGAGGGGTATCATTATGTTTCAGCACCAGATCGACAGGGTTTGTGTGACTTTTTTTTTTTTTTTTTAAAAAACAATCGATCAGAGAAATAACAGTAAACAGAAATGGACAGCAGTGCTGTGGTTGGAAAGGCCAAGCCGAAACTTCCAAAAGGGTGGCCTGAATATTTATTCATTACAAGACAGACGGGTCTCTGGGCCTCTCAGGCGACTTGGGTGGAGCCTCGTTCTCTCGGGAGGTAATTAGGTTTTAAACCCCCCCCCTTTTTTTTTTGTAAGGGTCAGGGAATCTTGGGGGACACCGAAGCTTGAGACCTGCACTGCCCGATCGGTAGGTCGTGCGAGCCAAGGTGTGCGGTGAGCGTATAATCCACAACGGCCTCCGAGGACAAAGTGCCGAAAAGAATGCAATGTATTTCACAAACGCGTTTCCCGTGAGTTATATATTGAAACAATGATGTTGGACTGAATAAAGATATTCTTAGATGATTTTCGCCTGTTTCTTTTTACCTTTTTTAATGTGGCCAGTAGAGAACTTAAAATTATACATGTGACTTGCATTATATTTCTAGTGGACAGTGCTGGTCTAGACACTCAAAACAGCAAAATGCACATCTGCAAATACACATCAAGTCCACATCTACTTCTAGAGGGTTCCTAAGCCCTCTGACGCCCTCTGTGAGCCACCGGTCCCCAGGTCTCGGGAAGCGGTGAGAAGCACTATGGGAAAAGGGCTGTTTCTTTTTCTTTTGGACCTTTCCATACCGGTTAAGTGTTCTTTTTCACTGCCGAAAGCACAGGAGAATCCCACAGAAACAAGCCTCAGGTGGGTGGAGAAACTCGAACTAGGCTCAGGGGTTTGTAACAGAACATCCTTGGGCTCAGGTCTGCAGGCCTCTGCTGAGCCTCCTGGGCCCCTCATCGTCCACGCAGCATCCTGCAGGGGCTGCTGCGGCCACATGCAACCAATTCCCGATTTACCTCGTCACCGGCAGGACCAGAGAACATGCATCGAACAGAGGCCTATGCCATCCAAAGGCATGTTCTCTCTGGGTATGGAACGTACATTTCTTTGGCTGTTGCATTGTCCTTCTAATTCCACTTGACTTAAGTTAATACCAAAATTTGTTTTGGGCAAAGCTGACTGAAGGAGGAGCAGGTGGCGCGGGCCTCTGCCGACAGAGAAATAGACACGCCTTGAGATGAAGAATCCCACACTGGCAACCAGGACTTGAAGGTGTCCACAGATTGCAAACTCTGTCACGAATGGCGGTTTTAAAACAAGGCAAAACCAAACAACTCCAACTGGCACTTAAAACTTCTCTCATTGAGATATTCCTTTTCAGCAACATAGGAGTGCCAAATCTCAAAAGCTGTTATTATATGTTACACGTCCAGTAATTCTGCCCCGCCTCAAGGTAGAAAGTCAGCTACATGTCATGGCTATCTGCAAAACCTGGACTCCCTGGCACAGTGCTCACTGGTGATCTTAAGGCCAGAAGGAGCCTCGGGCGTCACCTGTTTAACTCCTCCACGTTACAGGCGGAGAAGTGGAGGCCCGACAGACATATGGCTCGTCTATAGAGGGTTGGTTCCTTACTCCCGGTCCAGTGCTGTCTTCGTTCCTCCCTGGAGTTCATGACGGGCAGTGCTGGACTCCTAGAGAGATGTGATGTCTCTGAGGATGGCAATCATTTTCCTCGCCTTGCTGCCTACTCAGAAAGCATCGAATAGGAAACGGGTTAAAGGTGGTGAATAAGGAGCACCCCGCGGTCTCCCTGCACGTACATCCCCCACTTCAGCAGGCAGCAAAGTTTTATGGCAGAACCGATCTCTGTTTTTGGATGAGTATTAGCGTAAGGGGGTGGGAAAGCCTTGTTACCTACGCAGAGAACTCAGCGAGTCAAGCTTCCGTTCCGAGCCAACCACCCACAGGGCGGCATGGCATTTGCACAGAGGATGAGGCGATCGTGATCACCCGGAGAAGCTGTGCACCACCTGAGTCACTCTGCATCGGGAGAGGCTAAATGGATTACAAAACTGCCCACTGAAAAAATAGCACACTTCTGTCATAGTTACAAAAGAAGAAAAAAAAAAAAGGATACAAACATAAACAATCTCAAAACACCGGTGGGTCATGGTATTCATCTGAAACCTCTTTTCCTTTCCCTCTTTGTCCCTTCCAGTCGGGAGAAACCCGATTTAGGCAACTGCCATGCGGTACTTTTTAAGACCAAAGTGTCCATCAAATCACCCATCCCCCTTGACTTGGTATCTAGACGCACTCAGGGAACGATCTGCCAAGGCCCACCTAAGGCCTCCCTCCAGGTCTGGTGAGGGGTAACAAGGGTGTTGGAATCAAGGTACAACTTAGGTGCGGCTGAGGCCCCACTGGGGTGGACACAAGGCTCAAAGCTGATTGGCTCTCTTATAAAGCCTCCTGCAGAAGCCATTTGAGGTAACAGAGCCCGTTCTAGCCATGGGAAAGCCAGTACTTCAGGAAGATTTCGTGATATCTGGTCTTAAACTGGGCTTGCAGTCCCAGTTACAAGCCCCATAGCCAGGAAGAATGGCCTTGATGCCCTGGAGGGGACTTCTGAGTTCAAAACTTCAGCCAAAGACTGTGAGGTCTGGACAAATGCAAGTGTCTCCCCAAGGCTTCTTCCTTATGTCCCGTGGGCCCCTTACCAAAGCCTGGCAAGTGAGAGGCGGTGCGATGTAGCTGATACTAATGAAGTGGCCTCAGCAGATTCAGGGCTTAGTGCTGGGGTCTCTGGCAACCGGGATTTTCAAGATCCATTTAAAAGAATTTAGATTCTTAATGACAGCTGGCCTTCGATTGTTTCAGGCGCTGAGGTACTTCCCAAAGCCATGCACACGTCATGCTGAGGTCAAGACCATTGATCTCAGAGAAGGAATACAGACTGATCACAGACCGATCACATCCGGAACCGGTGCTTCTAAACAGAACTCTGTATAAAAGCTGGAGTGAATCAGAAGAAAAACAAAGGAGTGGCCCTACAGGAAACTACACATCGTCTTGAAAACAAACTGCCGAAGACATCAAACAGCAATTCCAAAACAAGAAAACAAGACCTGGGAAAAATCGAAATGAAACTAAGAAGCCCTAAAAGTGTCCTTTCAGTCTGTTTTAGGAGCTTCTGGAGTGTGTGTTTTACAAGGTCGTGGGAGGGAAAATCAGCTTTCAACTTCCGAGCTGCCGAGGCCATGGGCTGTCGTAGAGATAGAGAAGCTGCATCCCGATTAACGTGACTTTGGATATTGCTTTTCGTGACCGTCCTTGAGCGGAGCGTCCTGGAGGTGCCAGGTGTTCCGGAAGCGCGCGCGCCCCGTCCAAGTCTCCGGGCGCTCCTCCCTTCCTTCCCCTGGGTCCTACCGTCCCGTGTGTCTACATTCGCCATTTCAAGATTTCACCTCTTCGCAGTCTTGGTCAGTGGAAAGTTCCACGTCGGACAGTCCGACCTCCATGGCCATAATCAGCGAGATGTCGGAGTCGCTGCTTACAGCTGGCTCCTGGTCACCTGGGAGGGAAGAGCAAAGTTCATGGTGAACACCGAGCTATGTCTTTGGTTATTTCAATACAATTGCCTTTGAACTGCTTTTCTTTGAAGGCCCAGAGAAGGTATTAGAAAAAATGGCTATTTTGTAAAAAACAAACAAACAAACAAACAAACCCCACCGAAACCTTGTTAGAGCCTCATCACACACTATAGCTCCAAATAAATTCTAAGTGGGTCAAAAAGTTGAATGTACACAAAAGAAACTAATAAACTTTGAAGATATATCTTACAAGTATATGCTGCAGCAGGAAGATATATATCTAATATATCTAAGAGGGGCAAGAAATTATACCTGGAAAGCAATTGAGCAATCTACAGAAGAAAATAATGATAAATGTACGTCAAATTTAAAAAATATTAAAAGCATGAAAAATAAGGTTGACAGGTCTATATCTCTCTGGAAATATTTGTAAAAAATTCCCGAAGGAATGCATTTTCAATATATTGAGAGCTTTTAAATCAATACGAAAAACTAACAGTCCACCAGAAAACTTGGCATAGGTTATTGTTAGACAATTCACAGAGAAGTATAATACAATGACTAACAAATATAAGGTAAAAATGAGCTACCCCTTTTTTTGTTTATGAAATCTTCACTCTTTAAAAAAGACAGCATTCCAACTAAGGGCACATTGAGGTAAGTACTTTGATAGACTGCATGTAGAACTATCAAATTTTCACCCAGAATTTTTATTTCCAGAATGTTTTATAGAGGAATAATCAGAGATACAAAAATATGCATTTAAGTATTATTTACAGCAACAAAACATTGCAAGTAACAAAGTACGACAATAGAGAATATCTGAATGAGCCACGTTACTTCTAAAGGCCTTTTTGTTATAACCATTAAAGTGACATTTCCAAAGAATTTGTAATTATGTAAGAAAATGCTCGCGGTAATCTGTTAAGTGAAAACAGAAGTATTCAAAGCTTTTTATGGAGTGACGTTGACAGAAAGTTAACTGGAAGCAAGGAAAGTAAAAATGCTAATAAGAGTTGTCTCGAGTTTTGAGATTTATATTTATTTTATTTTCTCTTCTATTTTCTTTTTTCAATTTTACTCCCATGCTGTAATGCACAAATCACATTCATTCACTCAAGACACGATGAGTCCCCACTGCATGTGAAAGATCGTGTCAGATGCTAGGGATATAGGTGAGAAGAAGACAATTTATTTCCTCAAGGAGTTTACTGTCCAGTAGGCAGGCCAACCATTGGCTTGTCAATGGGACACGATGGGACACGCACTATGCTGGAAGATGTGCCTGGTGCCACAGGAGCAGGTTAGAGGGCTACGTAACCATCTGCTGGGTCAAAGAAGGCTTCCCATGGATGTAACGTCTAAACTGAGTCTTACAATATAACTCATATTTTAGCCAGATGAACGAGAAGCAAGAATCTTTTAAGCACAGCAATAGCACGTCCAGATGTCTGGTGGTGATAGGGAGCCCTCAGACGGATATCAGATCATATTTAAATATGAATGGAACGCAGAGTCCAGCTAGGGAGTATGAACCAGGGAATTTGGGGAGCTCAGCTGCGTAAAAGGCAGATTAAACCAAAAGATCTTATATGTTGCATTATCCTGAAAGAGAAACATGCAATTAAAAGACCAAACCAAATGTCTAAGTACTGAAGAAGGCTGATGGTTATAATACTTTTGCTCTGATAATGACTGATATAATTTATTTCACGTCGAGGTATGGTTAAGAGCTCATCATAGAGCGATAGAATGCCTTTCATAGAGATCTCGTAATAAAAGGCAGCACAGATAAATCGCCGACTTAAGAGTTCTCCAGAGATAGCTCCGTACCTGCACTGGCAGCTTCTCACCTTCGCTCCTGGCTTTTCAGCCACCAGCCTCAGCAGATTGCATGGATTTATTCTTACCGTGGCATTTTCTAAATTGAAATGTGTGAATTAAAAGAAAAAAGGGCCATGGGGACTGGTATCACCATGGGCTGCTGAATTCATGATGCTCTTTTGGAAATTGACTGTCCTGCACAGCTCAGGGCGAAGATGAATTCAAATAAAAAAAAAATAGAGATTGGTAAAAAAATGGTTCACTTTTTAGGATGTGACATTTTCATCAGTCACATCATCGAATCATTTCGCATTTCAAAACTTTAAAAAATGATCCAAAGACTTTAAAAATTATTCTTTACTGTGCCCTATGCTTTTAATCGAATGTGGTTTAGTCCATAATTTTTTGGGAGAGGGGCAGAAAAAACGGGGAGGGGGCAGGAGAGGGAGAAGACTACATGATTTTTAAAAGCAACGTTTTATCCTTTAATCAATGGAGATGTTGTACTTTGAGACCATGATAATACAAATGAAAATGTCACCAAAACATTTACATGGTTCTCTGTAGGTCATACTAATTGGGGACTGTAAAGTAGCTATTAACACCACAAATGTTCACTGAATGTTACCTCTTTACCTGCAAAGTAACATAATATAAAAGTAATACAAAAATAACAGCGGCCTGTATTGAATTCTCACAGCCACCCTTCGATGTAGGTATTATTACTGTTTTACGGATGGAAAACATCCTTAGTTCCTTCGATACAGTAGTCTAATACCCACTTGACACTTTTTTTTTTCTCGTTTTTCACGCATTGTAAAGACATTGAGACAATTTAAATGGGGAGCGATAATGATCCACTTACTATTTTAAAAGAATCGCTTGGTAGGACAAAGGGCGGAGGGAGTCCCGAGGAAAGTACTGTATAGCACTAAGGATGAAGATAAGGGGACAAGGCGAAAAAAAAAAAATTAGAAGGATATACAGAAAAGTGATGGACTGGACAAGGGCAGCGAGAGAGGAGAAAGTAGAGCGTAACTCCCACATCTCTTGGGCAAAACAGGTACCTTTTACTGAGCTGGAGGAACTGGAAGCTGAATCGGTGGGGACCGATGAAGAGTTAAGTTTTGCAGATGCTGTGTTTGAGGTGCCCGTAAGAAGCCCGAGGTTGCCGTGGAGTTGGCAGCTAGATTTAGGAGTCTGCAGTGTAGAGGAGAGGCCCTGTCTATCCATAAATTTGGGAGACTTCGATGTAGAGAAAGTATTTTAAACCACGGGAGCAGTGAGGTTTTATAGAAAGACAACATTGGGCGCAGTGTCCGGGAGCACCCGAACCTACAACCAAAGGCTCAAACTGGTGCCCGGACATAATTTTTTTGGCTTGCGTGATGTTATGTTCCGTTTCCCTACCCCCGATTGTGAATTAGTTACCATTATTTAATAGTCTGTTTATTTTACATACAAATTTATAGTTGAAATTTATTTTTGAAAAAGAAATGTCTGGCAACACATGCCCAGTTCCCAGGTGGAGATCTTTGCGGGGGGAGCTGTGGAAAGGCTGCCCCACTCAGCTCAAGGCAAAGAGGCTTGAGGACACTATAGCCGGCCAACAGTTTGCTGCACTGGTTCATGTTAGTTACTTGGCCTGTGTAGACATTTGAGTTTAAAAATCTCATTTTTAGGGGGAGGGTGGAAAAACAGCAGAGGAGGATAGACTCCCAAAGAGCCTGAAAATGGCCAGAGAACATTGTGTCACTCATTCATTTCCTTCTTTTCTTTTAAATATAGTTTTTTGTTTGTTTGTTTCTTTGTTTTGCCTTTTTTTTTTTACCGCCTTTATAGGCACTGACTCACAATCGACAGTCCATATCCAAGGAAATGAGATACTGTGGCTTTTACTGGATTGCTGGGGTGGATTTAAAGACTGATCCCAAGTCATCAAATTCTCAGCTTTGAATCTCTTCATCACAGCATTAAGGAGCATCTGATTAGATGGTGAGCAGAAAATACTGTTTTTAAATAAGGCCTAGTGATCCATTTTGTTGATTCAGACTGCTTTCAAATATTTCCACAATTAATTCCAAGTAAATTCCATCAGTAGCCGAACTGTGGTTAACCAAAAAATCCTTAGTGGTGGCATTTGTTTTATTAATTCCATTTAGTCCATACATCATTCATATCTTTGGTTTATCTCTTCCCTTGTTAATACATAAAATGTTACCTAAGCAGTCACAGGTTTCCCTTTGTGGAATAGGCCTATCCCCGCTATGGTTCTGCTGTGGGTCTGACATAACTATCTATAAGAGTGTGCCTGGTGGAAATAACCTGGGAACGCAGGAATCTGAGATCTGTCCTGCCCGTCATGGGCACACCTGGCCTGCCTTTATCTCTTCCCTGGCACAGGGCCGTGCCTTAGTCAACATCACCTTTCAGAACCCTGCCATTGCTAAATAGAGCAGTCAAATTGAATCGAGGTTCCTCTCTGGCCATGTAGGGCTCAAGCTTCGTATTTTATTAGTTAAGAATAACAATATCAATGCTTATCGAGTACTTACTACGCGCCAGGGACTACGCTCATTTCTTTAAATAGATTGTGTAACTTTTCACAAATAACTTATGACATAGGAAGAATGATCGTCTCCATTTTCAGGTGATGTCAGAAGTGAGATTCTTAACCTGAATATTAGTAATCTTTCAGGGGAATCCAGGTATCTAGAATTACAAACACACTTTTGAGGTTGTGTGCATGTCTGCATTTTTCTGGTTGCTTTCACCAGATTCTCACGAAACCAGAAAAGGCTAAGAACCACTCACATAAGAGCTTTTGCATCCTGGGCGATGCAGAGAACACATTTTTGTGTGCAACAAGAGTGGCTTGGCTTTTTCGTTAATGTATATTTCGGTTTTCGTGTGACTGACTCTGTGTTCTATAAATATGACACTTATCACATGAAGTCACTGCTTTCCTTTTAATTGTTTCCTTCTAACGGTTATTCAAAGCTAAAACAGAAAATTATCCTTCCCAGAATGAGGTTTGACATTTACTCTACTGCCTGTCTTATGAAAGAAGGCACAGAGCAGCAGCAGGCTGGAATAAGGCCTCCTTGTTAGCAATTAACAAACGTTGCCCTCGGAATAAATGTTCTCTGTGTTGAGAGAAAATAACGTGGTGACGAATATAATCCCCCAGGTGTCCTGATTCTCCGGCAGGTTCGGTGTTCACATGCTGGGACCTGCTCCGCATCGCATAAAAGCTTATTTTTTCCCAATGTACTTGAAACATAAGGTTTCAGAGAAAAATGGCATCCTTCTGTCCACTGCTCCTGATGCTTATCTTCTTAAAAATAGGACATCATTTCCAATCACCCCTGTGTTTTATAAGAACGCCGGAGGGGAGATGCTCAGGCAGACCGGCTGACCTACGATGCTGCTGTCTTTCCATCTCTTCTCCGAACTGAGCATTCTTAGGGCTGGGGGACTCTGCCTATATACTCCCTGTCATAGTCACAGTGGGAAAGTTAAAGTCATAAAGTCAATTGAGCATGAGGGACTGGGGGACTGCCTATATACTCCCTGTCATAGTCATAGTGGGAAAGTTAAAGTCATAGTGGGAAAGTCATCGTGGGAAAGTTAATTAGTTCATTAGATTTCAAATGCGGAGTGTTTTCAATAAGGGAATGTATTCCTTTGAATTCTTTTGCTTAACAAGAATTTCTGAGGAGATAAGCTTCTGATTGGGTTTAAATTTTCCTTCTTAGGAGTAACTTCTGCCGTGTGAATGGCAGGACTCTGGGTCACTTTCCTTAGAGGCTGTGCGATAATATTAATAATAATAGCTAGGATGTGTTGACTCCTCCCTACATGTCAGGCATTGAGCTAGGCAGTTACATACGTTATGTATGTTATCCTCACAGTGACACTCTGAAGTAGGCATATGATTATCCCAATGACTGATTCACATTTTACAGATGAAGTCAACTTGTCCAAGGTCAAGTACATAGAAAGAAACAGAAATGGAACCTCTACCTATCCAAGTGAGTGCAGTTGATGAATATGCTATTCTGGAATGGCAGACCTGTCATATTTCTATTTGGCTCATAAGTTGTTCTCATAGACATTGCTCGGCCACCTTTGAGAACCAAGTGTTCCAGGCTTACGATATAAATTCATCCATTTGGCCAAGTGATTCCTAAAATTGTTCTGATATAACTGGCATTTTTGCTTTTTTAACTTTTTGCTCCATAATTATAAAAATAAACATGATGAGCTCAAATCAGGGAAGTTCGTTCTCACTTTTCAGATGGGGAGGTCTAAAGCATTGTTTTTATTTTGCTTTGGTACAGAGGGATTTCCTGGAAGTCCGTATATTAAATTAGGTCGCATAGTTGTGAATTCACTGGGCTTTTATCTCTTCATCATTGGTTTCTTTCCCTGTGACACTACACTGAGCAGGAGAAAGATTTTCTTCAATGGCTCAAACTCCTTACTGATTTCCTTAACAGTTCACTCAATAATTCCTTACTAAGTGCCAAGAGAAGAGACAATGTAATATTTTCAATAGTTTTATATTAATTGTTGCAAGAAGGAGGCAAAATCTAGTGAACATTTATGCTGTCAATAGCTATTTTACAATCCCCAATTAGAAAAACTTACAGAAAACCTTAAGCATTAAGCATAATATTTGGTAAAAGGAAGGCTCTCGATAAATGTGAATATGATTGGAACAAAAGAGTTAGGAAGAGAAAGCCAGATGGATTTCGAAAGATAGGCAGAGATCATACAGACTCATCTATTTTTTGCAATTGTATGAAATTATCCATAGCCTTCATTTATTTATTCATTAATTTATTTATTCAACAGTTATTTGTCGAACACTTATTAGGTACACAACACTGCTGATGAGCTTTGGAGGAAATAAAAGTAAACTTAACACAGGTTCTGCCTCTAAACTGAATTTGATCTATAGAAGATATCAGATTTGTATCTATACATTTAATCCACGCTGACATATGCTAGAGAGAGAGAGAGAGAGAGAGAGAGAGAGGAGAGTAAATAAAATGCCAAGGAAACAGAGAGGTGGGGAAAATTTCACCTCCAACTGGGTAGCCAAGAAGGTTCAAGAAGTTGGCGCCATGTAAACCAGTGGTGAAATCTGATAGTACTGGAAAGTATGGAGATGAGAAGAAATGGCATTCTTTCAAGAGAACCGGCATGACTAGCCATCATCAGAGCAGATGTCAAGGCATGTGGATGGTTTGACTTGGCTGCAGCTCAGGTTATAGGGAACCATAAGCTATGTGCCAGATGTAGCCTGCAGGTACTCCACCCTCTTCCTGCCCTCTGTGCTCTCCTGTTTCCTGGGGAGCTAGAAGGCTGAGAACTACATTTCCCAGACTCCCTTGCCAGCTGGCTTGCTCTTAGGTCCTGCCAAGATTGGAAGGCAGGAGGAAGAGGGAAGCTATTGTACTTCTGGTTCAGGCAGGTCACTGTGGGCTCCAGAATTGTTGGCAGTGGTTTTAGCGGACTCTGAAGGAGGGAGGAGGATCCTGAGTTCCTGCTCAGTGCCAGTGCAGGTGATTTCCCCAGCAGAAACGAGACAGCTCCAGCAGCAGCAGAGCTCTGGGTAAGCCCCTCCCACTCTTCCAGTTTCCCCAACTTTTTTTTTTTTTTTTGGTACATCAACATTATTGAAGTATAATTTACCTATGATAAATTACATCTGTTTAAAGTGTATGATTTGATGAGTTTGATGGGCGTGATGGAGGTATGTAGCTACGTAACCACTCGTTCCAGCCTGGTGGTATTCGAAATGTTGAACATTTTTATTTACCCCCGACGTTTCCTCACGCCCTTTTGTAGTCAATCCCTCCTTCTCTCCCTGACCCCAGGCAACGCCTGATCTGTTTTTCTTTTTATAATCCTTTATGAGCGTTTTTCAACATTGGTTTAACTGACCTTTGGGGTTGGAAAACACTCTGCCGTGAGGGGGATGTCCCGTGAATTACAGGATGTGTAGCAGCATTCTCGGTCTCTACCCACTAAATGCCAAGAGGATCGCCCCCTCCCCAGCTGTTTCTTTCACCCCACTATGCTCATCTTGAGAATCATCTGGGATGTTGTATGTATCGATAGTTCACTCCCTGTCATCGCTGAGTAGTTTTCCATGGTATGGACATAGCACATTTTTGCTCAGCCATTCACAAGCTAATGAACACTGGGAGTTATTTCCAGTGTTTGGCTATTGTGAATAAAGACGGTATGAACATTTGTGGGCAAGTATTTTTGAGGGCCATTTTAATTTCTCTTGGATAAATACCAAGAAGTTCATTGCTGAGTCTATATGCTTAAGTACATGCAACTATATAAAAAACTGCCAAACTCTTTGCGTGTGTATATGGCGGATGGGGTGGGGAGAGGCCAAAAACCACATCACATTAGTCATTCTCAAAACAGCTTCCAAGTTTACAGTATGATACTGTCAACCAGATCCCCGTCATCATCTTGCATGACTCCTGCGAGGCAAGGGTCCGACTTCTTTCTTTTGCATGTGGAAATCCAGTTTTTCCAACACTATTTCTTGAAGAGATTATCCTTCCCCATTGTGTAGTCTTGGCACCTTGTCTCACATCATATGACCATACATATGAGTGTTTATTTCTGGGTTCTCTATTCTGTTTCATAGATGTATATATTATATATCTTTTTTTATATATCAGTACCATACTGTTCTGATTATGGTAGCCTTCTAAAATATTTTGAAATCAGGAAGTGTGAGGCCTCTAGCTTTGTTTTTCTTTCTCATGGTTGTTTTGGCTACTCAGGGCCCTTTGAGATTCCATATGAAATTTCATATTGTTTTTTCTATTTCTGTAAAAATGCTGCTGGGATTTTGACAGGGATTGCACTGAATCTTTAGATTACTTTGGGTAGTACGAACATTTTAACACTAGTCTTCCAATCGACAAACATGGGATGCCGATCCATTTATTTGCATCTGTTAAATTTATTTCAGCAACATCTCATGGTTTTTAGTTTTCATTTCCTTAGTTATGTTTATTCCTAAATATTTTATTCTTTTTGATGCTATTGTCAATGAGATTGTTTAAATTTCCTTTCCAGGTTGTTCATTATTAGTGCGTACAAAAGCACACTAATAATGTGTTTATGTGTTGATTTTGTCAAATGCTTTTTCTGCAGCAGTTAAGATGATCATGTTATTTTTATCCTTTGTTCTATTAATGTGGTATATCACATGCTGAGGTCTATGAACGATTTCAAGCTCATTTTATATATGGTGCAAGTAAAGGTTTTGTGTTCATTTTTTCCCCCAGCATCTTTGTAATCAATTTCTTGTATTAAATTCCCTTATTTTGAAATACCTAGGGTGACTGCCATTTTCCTGACTGGTCTCACTGAATACAGGCAGCATGGTCGGAAAGGCAGGCTCTACTGACACTGAAGAGGAATTGGAATGCAGGGCTCGAGTGTCCTGACTTTATGTAACATACACGGATTATATTATGTTTGTGCATAAGATGTACTTGCTTAGATAAGCTCCTGAAAAATATACAATGTCAGTTTCCTCATCAGTAAAAGATGATAAAAATACTTTTTTTTGGTAGCCTGTAATGAGACTTGATGTACACACACACATACACACACACACACACCACAGTGCTTCACTTCACCGTGTGTCTGGCACATGCTATTCCAGATAATATACAGCTATTATTGTATTTCAGATATTTACCAAGAACCTTAATTCCTTTCCCATTAAGCCTTTTGGCTTCCTTCTTTGTCCATGAGTGTGCTGGGGGACAAGGGGGCGTCCTTTCTTTCTCTGGCTACTACCCGACTGTGTCTGTAATGCTCTAGTTCTTCCTTGTTATTGGATGTGGGTCGATGCATCAACATTTCATAGGGAGCTCATTCACCATGTGACAGCCTCATCCCTACTGCTTACACAAGTGTCACCCTGTTACAGGATAGTCCAACACAAGAGCCAGAAGAAACTAGAGAACAGGGCTCGATGGAAACACTGAGCCTAGTTTAAAGGTCAAGCCGCAGACCGCAGTCCAGCGGGGACTCTTACTTTCCTCTGGAAGGAGTTGGGGACGAGAGGACAGATAAGAAACACATTTTCTTACATATACATTTTCAAAAAGAAAGAAGCATTCACAATATAATCTGCTAAAATGTAAGTCGTCAAGAAGAGCGTAGCAAATTATAAGGTGAATAAACAGCTCAGTGCTGAACTGGAGACTAAACGCTGCCGTGAGCACATCTTGGTCTCTCTTCAGGAGCCATTTTACATCCACCTGTTCTAGTACCACCATCGATTTAAGGTCTTTACTACAGTTGTCGTTTCTGACCATGCTGACCCTCCGGCTTCCCCAGAAAACACACAAAGAAGCCTGTTCTTAAAGCTTCAAGACTGTAAGTCATTCGTGTAGAAGAACCCCCGGTTGCCCGCACCTCCTCCATCCAATCCACGCTGCATAATTTACCTTTGGCAGGTTCAAGAATAGGTCATGACCTGGTGCTCTAGGGGACGGGGCAGGAGGGGAGGGCCGCAAGTGGTGGCACAACTAAGCCCTCAAAAACTGAAAGACTCGCTCTTAGCTAAAGAAAAGAGGCCCAATGTTTTGACCCAGAGTATGGGTTGATATCCTGACCATAAATTACTGAAATTAACCTAGATGGAAGTGTTTACATGCCTTCCTGGAAAACTTAATGATTTCTATCTAAAGCATATAGTAGCGAGAGCAGTGGTCCAGTCGTGCCTGTTATAAACGCATAACCGAATCCCTTCCTCTGGCTCCCAGAATGCAATGTCCAACTCTTTGTGTTTAGAACATAAAAAACAGAATTCGTAATCAATCTTTGGACATGCAGTGGGAATTCTGTGCCATGAGTTTAGGGTGAGAATAAAGGATACACAAATGAGGCAAGCCGTTTGACAAGGTGAGGGGACATGAAAGGGCAAAGGGAATAACGGGACATTCTGCTGGCCGGACGTTCGTCCTCCATTCTGCCCCTTGGTGACAGAAGCCACTGCCCTCCTAGTCTTCTAGAAGAAGCGTCTTCTTCCACTTCGCTGCATAAGCAAGTGGATACAGCTAGAAGAGCCTTAGTGTTTACTTCCTCACTCACTTGGTCAATCAAATAATGTTATGGATAGAAAGCATCTAGCCCAGTTTCTGGTTTAGAGAAACACTTAATAAAACAGCCTGTAACGGTGATAATGATAAAGCTGCTGTTTATATTGTTCACCGCTAGGTGAACTCAACCCACCCCCCTTATAAGTGAGACGGCAGATGAGAGACTGTGTCTGAAAAAATATTCTATAAAGTAATAACTTAATTTTATATCTGGGAAATGCCAAAATGTAAATCATTTTTTTTAAAACGCTGGCTCTGAAGTTCAACAAAATCTTTCTGACAGGTGGGGATCCAGGAAAGGTAGCAGTGATTCTCAAGAAAAAGGTTGTCGAGGGTATGTGGGTTAAATAAAACCCTCGTGGGAAGGGGTAAGACTTTTATGTTTATTAAAAGAGAGTATGGCTCTTTCTAAAAAACAGTTTGAGAATGTGCCCACAAAGGAGAAATAAACGGTTGGAAAGTATCATTGGGAGTTAGAAGACCTAATCTCAACACTGACTTGATAAGCACTGTACTTGTGACCAGTAGGTACCCTGTGTTCCCTTTCTGCTCTCAGAGGCAGGGACTTATTTTGCACAGATGGCACCAGAGCTTCATCCCCAATGCTATTCTGGGGTAGTGGCACAGGTTTTCAAACTCTGGTTTTAGAAAGAGTCATGGAGGAAGCCTGATAAGAATGACGGTTCTCTGCTCACCCCTGAAAACTGTGATTTAGTCAACCTGGGGTGGGACCCAGGGGTCTGCATTGCAATTACAGCCCAGCAGAGATTCAGACCACACTCGAGAAAGTCCAGTGTGTTCGTAAGAACCTGGGCTTTGGCGAGAGTGACAACGGCTCTCATCCCAGCCCGCCAGTTACTCAAGGCGTGACTTTTGACGAGGTTCATGGACTGCCCTCCACTTCAATTTCTTGTATGTAAAAGAGTGATAATAATTGTAAAAGTTAAAATACACAGAGGAAGCTCTCTGCAAGATGCTTGGCACACGGTTTATGTTTAATAAGCCTGAATTCCCTCTACCTCTTTCTTTGTAGAAAACTGGAGAGAACGTTTTTCAAATGCTTGTAATGGACCCGGCACTTCCCTAAGAAGTTTTCATTACATCAAATCACATGAGGTGATTACTTCCACTTTACAGATGAAGAAATGGGGACATGGAGAGGTTGAGTGACTTGCCCAAGCCAATGCAGGCAGCAGGTGGCAGGGGCGGGGCCTTGACTTAGTTCTGCTGCTGAGAACTTACGTGATTTTCGGGGGTATAAATTAGGGACAAGAATTTCAGGACCTCTCTCTGCTGTCCAATAAAGATCCACCCTTCGCTTCCCAGTGCCCTCACCATTTGGTCATATCCCCTGACACCTCATAGTTGAAGACGATACTCATACTCAGTGGGGACAGACATCTACAAGTGTGATTTGGCTGCACGGTCTGTCATTTTACTGTAGGGCATAAGTGCTGGGAATACATTGTACCTAAAATCAGGGCCTGCCTCACTTGTAGGGTTATCTTTCTAGATATCAGGGAGCCTTTAAGTCCATTAGAGAAAAAAATGATATATACATTTGTTTTGAGAGCTGTACCCGCTCTGATGCACTAAGCTGGAACCATTTCCAGGAGTAATCAGTCGAGAGTCATGACCGAAAACCTCGAGCCTCCCTGCAGAAACAGGCTACCTCCAGTGACGCAGAGTCGATGGTACTGAGTCATACGTCTGTGTGCAGGCATGCATGCGGGCCATAAAAACGTGCAGATGTCTATGCGTGTAAAAGTACTGCCTGAGGCGCATACACATGCTCCATGTGCCCACATGATATGCAGGTATGAGCGCGTGCATACGCAAGTGTTTGTGAATTTAGGTAAGTGCATGAGTGTTCTTGGCATACATATGTGTATACACACGTGTGCTTTCCATATGTGCATGCATGTGTGCATGCCCACTCATGCAAGTGTTTGTTTATCCCATCGCATGAGTTTTTCTCAACTTCTTAACAGTGAAGACATGCTTTTAAATCCACTGTGTTCCAAATACACTTTTCTAACTAACTCCATATTTAAATAGCAGTTGCAGTATTATTAAGGTATTATTTTTGCTTAAAAAAATCATTCCACTGTTGTTGCACAGCAGGCGTTTAAGTGCAGCCAATTCTTTCTTGTGCCGACAGCTCTGATTGAGGCATAAATCTTTATATAAGTGAATGATTTGTTTGACAAAAAAATTTTTGATGGAACTTTAGTCTATAAGTCTACTAATTGTTCCTCCCTGCTGTGAACATTAGTTAATACTGAGCATATCAATTGTGTATGTTGTTGTGCTTAATAGGCACACACACAGTTGCACTGCATGATTTTACTAAGAGGTATTATTTTAATGAGACCTAAAAAAACAATCCACGACAGTGATTGTCCCAAAGATATCGGTGCATATGAAAAGAGCATTGTTGCCCTGAGATTGTCCCTAAATTTGGGGTTGTAGAACTGTGGTGAATTGTAGGGAACATCTCTTGAACTTCAGGGGGCTGCCAGACTCAGGTCTAGTCAACTGTCACCATAAGGGAATGAGGCCCAGGACTTCCGCTCCTTCCAATCTTTTTACTAGAAATTCAGGTTTGCATGCAAAACCTTGCCATATTTGAATGTTGGCCCCCAGCTGAATACCAGCAGAAGTATTCTCAGGGCCAAACCCTACTCGTTTGTAGACAGAAGGGGTCACGTGTGACATCAATTTGCTACCTCTGCCTAGAGAATTCCTAAGAATCCCCAGAGATCTAATTCTGCATGGCTTTGGATGACAAGCCAAGGCCCTGGGGATCGGTGGTGGTGGTGCGTGCACGTGCACGTGTGCGTGCATGGATGTGAGCGTGTGTGTGCAGGGAATCTGGCTCGATCCTCACCCTGGAGTCCATGGGAAGTCTCCAGAGTGAGGAGGAAGGAGTGTCCCTCCCATCCGGCATTCTCTGACTTCTCCAGACAAGTGGAGTGTGACCTAACTGATCACCACCGCAGCTGTGTCCTGGATGGAGCTGGGGAGGAGATTTTGGCTAAATCACTTAACCACAATATATTTTCTTTTCTCCGGAAGTTTCTCTGCAAATTTTTCTCTCAAAGGGAGGAAGGAAGTGCAGTGAGGACCACCCCATAAAGAGCTGATGAGTTACATACTTTGTATGTTAAAAAGTCTCCTAGTGGATTTTCTACAAGGGAGTGTGAGATTCAATTGCTGCAAACATGGAGGTTTGTATCAAATGGGTACTTCCAAAATTTTTGCTCCAAACTGTCCCCTGAGGTTAAACTTATAAATACACAAAGAACATCAAGGCCTAGCAAATCAAGAAATTATTTGTTCCTCAACAGATCATTTGTCTGGAAGTCTGTATGCGCTAAGATTACTGATGAGGTGGCTATCTGTGGAATACAACCGAGAGACAGCCATGTATGGGAAGACATAATGTGACTTTCTAGGAACCGATACTAATGGGTTGTTGATTGATTGATGGGCTGCCTAGTGATGATGCTGATAACCCGAGAGATTTCTCTGTAAATGGTGTTATAAGGACTGTCACTATTTTAGATGAGGTCACGGTAGCGAAGATTGCAGCTTATAACTCAGTGGTACTCAACTGATCAATTAGTGGGAAAGATAAATAATGACGAGTGAGCGTGCAGTTCTGGCTCAGGAAGTAAAGTAAATGTGATCATTGAAGACGAGCGAGGTAATGCCGATTTTCATCCCCACAGATAAATGGTTCAGGATACACCCCAGAGCTCACAGGCCTTGGAATCTATCTGAGATGGGTGCTGTGTAGATATCTTTATATCAAGACACTTCAATTGCACCGGTCAGTACCTGACATGTGTCTGTTCGGTGTGTGCTCTCATGGGGAGAGGTGCGTGCAGTGGGGACAGAGGTATTAGGATTTATCGAGTGCCAGGCTCTGAGCCCGCAGCTCTTATTTATATCGATTCATTTCACCTTCATGACAAACCTGTGAGGTGGATTTTACCTGGATGATTTTAAAGACGAGGAAACTGAGGCTCAGGGAGGTTAAGTGAGTTGGTTACTAACTCAGTGGTCAGCCAGGGTTTAAGCCCAGATCCGTCCAGGGTCCGAGCCATCCCGTTTCCCCAAGCCTGAGTTATCTCTCAGTTGGGTCACGTTCACTCATCGTGGGTTTATGTTAAGGTTAGTGCCTTAACTAACTGAAGAGCTTCATGTCAGCTGCACTGGGTTCTGGGTTGTTGATTTTATGATATTTCCAGGGCGTCTGCAGAAACCGATGCGCAGTCAGATGTTTCTCCCTCACATCTCGCTTTGCTGCTGTTCCCACCACTTTCTGTCTCTCTGCACTGCTTTTAATCCCCTGTTTTTGCTGTGCACTGCAATATCAATGGTGATAAATAATAAATCATCAATCGATTTCTACAAAGCATTAGACTCCCACCTTCCTCACGATGAGGGAACAGTTTAGCATCTATGCTCCTGTCGCATGCGGGTAAAGCCACAGTGCCATCCCAGAGGAGCTGGCTCTAGGGAAGCTAGTCTGCTGGCACCTAGGAAGTATATATAGATAGATATACTTTTTTTGCCCCTTTACATTAGCGGACAAAATGCAGATGTAGATTGCAATACAGTCTCTTCCACTTCTAACTACTGCTCTTGTTGGTTTCCTTACAAATTTGGCATATTCAGTTGTTCAACTGATGATTGAGTGTAACTGTATGCCACAAACTGTATTGAGTTTTGGAACATGAAGGTGAAAAGCCACAGTCCAAATTCTGTAAGGACCTTTAGGTTCTGTGGGGGTGACAGATGCTATCTCAAGATCAAGAAATCATAACAGATAACTGAAAGGAGACAGTCGTAGGAGAAGGCGCACCAGATTCTGCTGGGAGCGGCAGAGAAGACAACTCGGGGAGCGCGGCAGAAGGGTATGTGTAGTTGGCCGGTGGAGGGAGAAGTGTCAAGGGCAGCGTATCTGGAACCAGGAGTGGCTGAGAAATGCTTCTGTGGAAAGTGCCAAGTGGGAGCGGTGAGAAATCGGGGAGAGATAGGCAGAGGTCCAATGCTTAATGAGTTGTTTAGAATAGCCAGCTGGAGTTCGGTAATGAAAATGTCTTGAGCAAAACAGCGAACTAAGACCAGATTTCTATAGACGATTATATTCAGGAAGCAAGATCAGGACAGACTAGAGAACGGTAGGACTCGAGATGGGGGCAGTGAAACGACAGCCACGGCAAAAATCAAGGAGATGAGAAGGTCTCGGATGATAGCATCCGGCAGAGGGGAATGGCGGAGGGAGACAGACTTAAAAGGCGGAATGAATGTGGCTTGGTGATTGTTTTGCTGCCCAGAGCAACAGAGTGGAGAGGATGTAGGGTAACCACTGTTAATGCCTGGAGCACTGGGAAGTAATTTCACTGTAAAAACTGAAGTCGCTAACTTATAAAGCAAAATTATACACCAGCACACTGAAAATATAATGCGAATGTGGCATGCAATAAGGAAACGCTCTTAAAAGTTTGGTACCATTCACGTTTTCTAAAGCCAAGTATGCCTGACAAGGCCATAATTTTCACTATAAGAAAAAACACATTTTGGGGGTGGCATGTGAGATGCTAATAAAAAATGTGTGCTGAATTAGTGGATTAATTCTTCAATGGCAAGTCAGCTGATCCTTTTAGTTTTTCCTAATTTTTAAATGTAATTTTTAAAGCTAATTAACTTAATTTTTAAAAATTTCGTAAGAACATAGTTTAACGAGACAAATAGTATTTTATCTTTGACTTTATCTCTTAATTATACTATGGGAATTTTCACTCTGCTGTATTTTTAAATTTCCAAGAGCTCTGCTTCATTTTCTGACAATTTCTATCATCTGTTTCTATCCCGTGGATGCGCTATTGTCTCGTATCTCTGTAAGGAGACAGGTAGGTGATGGCTCATAGACTTCTGTGTTCTGAATTATCTTGGTTTCTTTGGAGTTTACTTTTATTTGTTATGTCCCCTCTCAGATTTGGTGGCTTCTTGCAACTGTCTAGCCATTCTTGCTTTCCTCACGTTTACAAAGGAGGCGCTCGGATTAAACGTGCACGGGTGGGGCTTGCCAGCTGAGGAGGGAATCTCGTAGGGGCCTATGGCAACCACTGGATGGCTCAGGATGGGGGCGGGGAATCTGGGGGCCTTTTAAATGCTCGTCACAGTCATTCGCCCAATCGTCTTTTGAGCACCATTCTTTACTGCATCCTCCCTGGGCATCGTGCCTTATATCCCGAGGCTCTGCAGAGCTCCAAGCGTAAAACCACTTTGGCTTCTCCCCGAGGAGGAACCCAGATTTCAGCTTTCTCCACCTCACTAAGAGAATTTCTACACATCTCTCTTCCAAAATGTGCTGACGTATTGTCTGTTGTCATCTCTTCTCCGCTCTTAGTGTCCATGTTGGTTTTTATCTTTTAAAAGGTTGGCGGGACTTGGTTAGGTAGCAGAGATAAACACGTAGATTCAATCTGCCACATGTAGCTGGAAATCTTCAGTTGCCTCTACATGGTTCCATTACCAAGACGACCAATCCCGATGCCCTTGAGTCTTCAATCACCTGAAATGGGCACGTTTTAATTCAGTTTTCAACTCTGTCCTGTTAGAATGAGTTGTATTGTGAGCTGCTCAGGCATTCCTTTGGTAGGGAACCAGTTTAACATGAGGTCCAGCATCAGAAAGACAACTGAGCTAGGGCAGAATCTCGATTTATCTCCTTTTGTTTGGGATAAATATTGCTGTTTGTTTCTATTGCACAAGGATGCTATGAAGACAGAACGAGATATCATCAGTGAATTATGTTTTGAGATCATAGGAAGAATCATCGATCGGTGAATCAGTGTATTTCTCTCTACTAGTACAAGAGATTTATTTGATGACTATGGAAATGAAAGTGCAGAGAAGGTAAGTGACTTGCCCAGGGGAGCACAGCAAATTGGGGGCCAAATCAGGACTATGGGCCAAATTTCCTGCCTCTGGCTAGTGTGTTTCCATGATATCATCTATCTGTAAGTAGCTCTAGTAATGTTCTGATAGTTACTTTTTTTTTTTTCCTGAGACACTGAATTTTATTTCTGAACTATTTTGATTTTCAGAGCCAATTCTTATGTCATCCAAAAGGCATTCTCAGCTTTTCCTGCTTTCTTAGTCTCTGAATGATGGAACTTCTCCACAATTTGCTTTAGAATTGAAATGCGAAGAGAAACTCTTATTTATACTCCACGCTCCTCAAGCACTGAAAAAGTGCTGACCTGCCAACTGTGTTTCCTGGCATCAGCTGCCACCTCCCTGCTGAGATCCATGTTCAGTGTGACAGTGTCTGGTAAAATGCATGTCTGCTGAACAGCCCTTTCCCCAGCTAACTCGGGGACCAGCTGCCTAGCCATGACACATCCCCAAAGCAAGACAGCATGGGGAGAGATTTATCAAACTAAAGATGGTGTTATCAACCAGTCACTGAGGACAGGAGACAATCTCCCAGAAATGGATGGACTCAGTCTGTTGGCTGAGTTTGTTTCAGGAAGACAAGTTCCTCCCAAGAGGATAGTGTGTGTCATGTCCAGGCTGAGAGCTCCGAATGGCAATACATCTGTGGTCTAAATCGATTAACTCTCCCCTGGGCTGTGTGTGAGTCTGCGGATCCTCAATACTCCCTGTCAGAGGCACCAGACATACAAGACCAGAAAACCCCAGGAGTCTGGCCCCATGTGGGCTTTCTTGGAGTGACAAGTGTTTTTAATCCAGGAGGAATGTCATCATGGAAAACCGGGCAGCTTGTGAATTGGATAGCTGCCATCTGGGTCACTTGATGATCAAGGCATGTACTTATTGCAAAGATCTTTGCTTTTCGAACAGCTGTCCCTCTGCTGAAGCTGTCATTTGAGCTGGTGAGCTGGAGGGCTCAGCAACAAGGAGGTCACATTGCTCCAGGGACCTGGTACATTACGAGACACGGAGAGACACGGAGCTGACTGTGGGGAGCAATGTCACAGTCGGCAAATGCTTCATTTTGTAGAGGAGTTGTCCACTGTGGCTTAACTATTTCCTGAAGGGGAGGTGACAGTGTGGTCTAAAATCTAAAGGCCTGGCTGGTTTTATTGTCTGCCACATGGGACTACGCTCACAGATCAAAGCCGTCATTCTTGCCGGGGCTAATGTGAATTTTATGGGCACCAGGGGAGACCATTCTCATCGCTGGTTCCAGACGGTGTATTTATCCACAGTCAAAGAGTCGCTGCTTTGCCCTTTCAGACTTTGATGCAAGTCCAAAAAGCAGACGTGGCCATTCGCTCTTGCCCTCCCTCATCAACACCGGGATGCTTTATCTAGACGTGTTTATTTCTGGACACACCAGTATATTCTGCAGTTTCATAAAACCTGGAGATTGCTGCTTTGCGCGTGTAGCAAAGTGTAGTTGCACATTTGAAACAGAAATGTGATATTCATGCCAACTTTCTCTTTTTCTCTCACTTGTCCAGATTCAGGGGTTCAAAACTGGGTTCCCCGGAAAAGTTCCAATACACATTCTTTCTCGTTTCCGCAGTTCAGACTGTGGTCAGAGCAAGTCCAGGGGCATTCATGACTTTTGACTATCGGCGTCCTGAATGCTTCATTGACTACCCCCTAAACAATAAGCAAAGAACTTAAAAAGTGTGAGAGCGAATGTCATTTCTGGCCTAATTTTAGAGGAATGTGTCTTTAGCAATGAAGAACCCCCAGAGAGGTTTATCCTGCATTCCTCAAATGAGAGAGCGCGGATGATCCCAGACACACGGTCTCCGAATGAACTCTCTGGAAGTCTTTCCCAAAATTAGCCTGCAATGCGTGTCCCTGGAGCACTCCTGCTGATTGCAGGGATGGCTGTTAACGATGTGTTTTTCTTTCTGAAAATGACTTTTTTTTCTGGGTTGCTGTTTTAACTGTGCTGAGAAAATTATTTTTGCCTCATGAGTGCATTTTGAAGAGTATGAGCATATATATTTTTTTCACCACCAAAGGCTGACCTATCTCTAGATCCTTTGCAAAGGAACCATACATAGTTCAGTTACCATATGAGCTAAGAACATGTCCTCTGGCGAAGATGATGAAGACGCTCAGGAGCCCATTCCTCCGTACAGTCATGGGCCTCTTCCTACCTCTGTTTCTAGTGAGGAGATGTGGGCAGCCTCCCCAACTCCCCCACCCCCGCTCCCTGCCCACTGCCGGATGTCCAATGGGTACGAAGGGGAACCTGTTCTGTGACCTGTTCTTGACCCCATGGCCCATTTCGAGGCAATAAAAAGGAGAGAGGGAGAGAAAGGTGGGGAAACTGGTGACGAGATTGGCTGTGGAGAGTACGGTCATGCTGAATCTCACCCCTCTAGCCACAATGGTAGGAAGGGGCTCCATCCCATGCTCACGCCCAGAGTGGGGTTATAGCAAGGGAACCCCTGAGGGGATTCTGGAAGATGTTCCCTGTTGGTGAGACTTAGGGAGAACTGACCCAACCCTTAGAAAAGTGAAAACAGACCGTGGTCTCAGGTCTCCTTCCTGCCTGGGATCTGGAAATGAATGGCCTGGGTGGGGTCAGAGGCCAGAGGCATAGAAGGAACCAACCATCCTTTTTAAAAATTTTCCTGGGAAAGACATCAGGGCAGGTGATGTGTGACTGTCCCAGGGCTGGCCACGTGAGACAGCGCCAGTTCCTGCTGGAATTTTCATCCAGGGCCAGGGGAATATTAGACCCACTCAACTCGGCTGTGCCCAGGCAGTTAAGATAAAGATGCATGTTGAATACGACACAAATCACGTTTTGCTCAACATGTTAGATACACTGTGTTTCCCCCAAGGATCAGAGTTGACAGCAAGTTAGCAAAGCAGGTTTCTCAGAGGAATCCCATGCCACGTTTCATTTCAACTGGCCGAGTTTTAGCAGTAACTCATTTGTACTGCTTTCTTCTGTAAAAATCTGAAGACCAGGTCTTCTCCTGGCCGAACATTTTATGCCATGGGTGCCTCAGAATGTACCGTGGCAGATGTGAAACACCTTGATTCTGCCCATCTCCAGGTCTCTCTCCAGCTCCAAGCTCCCTCCACCCTCCACTCTCCACCCCAATGGGCTGACGGTTGGGTCCTTCTAGTTTGAGGTGAAGGAGTGGCAAGTGGGTAATGACCTGGAGGCACGCTAGAGAGATCGCAGTGTAGTGGTTCAATAAAGGAGATGGATGCTGACATCAACAACTTCCATGAATAACAAAGGGGAGCTTTCCGGCCCTTCCGAGGAGACGTGGAGTGGCACTGAATGTTTTTGGGGAGGGGTGAGAGAGCCTTCCCTTTTGCGTCTTTCTCTAGCCCCTCTCCGGAGTCTCCAAGCACCCAGGGCTTTTGTTTAGCTGTGTTTTCCTTTGTTCCTAAGGAATTTTTTTCCCTGCTGAAGCAAACTCAACCATCGGCAGTCAGAAGGCAAAGGATGTTTTTGGTGGAATCAGGCAGGCAGGCAGATAAGGGCTGGTGAATGACATCTGGGCATTCTTACAAATGACCCCGTGCACTAAGACAGAGGAGAAACAACACTGTGCGATTTGGGGCTGCCATGTGAGGTTATAAAAAGTGGAATGCCAGAAGTATTATAGGTATACATACATAAAGGATGTCTTTCTCCCAAATGTCAGACTTGCAACGAGTTTGGATTCTTTTGCTGTAAAAATGCTTCTCTTTTTAAAAAACTTTCCTGCGAGCTGAAGATGATCCTTTAAAGTCAGATGTTCTCATCTTCCCTCTGAAGGCAACCTGTCCTACACTTTCCCCCTGCAGTGCGGAGATGACTTTTACATGCGTTTGATCGACTGTACACCGACATTCTTTGCCAGGAAAGGAAGAACAGAGATACAGATGAATGAGAATTCAAGTCGGAACTACTCAAGCGTTTGATCTTTCAGAGATTCAGAAAACATGGAGGAAAAGAATAAATAAATGAAATGGGAAGGGAGCGAACAGCTGTGTTCCTTTCCTCCCCTCGTCCGTCCTTTGAGCGTAGCAGAGTTCGGCATGGGGCTCTAGACCCAGGGACTCCTTTGATTCCAGCTCCACCCGTCACTAGCTTACGACCTTGGGTCAGTTACTTTAATCTCTCTGTGCCTTCGCTTCTGCGTCAGTAAAATGGGGATAAAAATAAGATGTGCCTCCTAGAGTTGTTGTGAGCTGATTATTTTATATGTGTGTGTGTACGTATATATATGTGTGTATGTATGTATGTATGTGTATCTGCGTGTGTGTATATATATGTATATACATTTATACATACATATATATATACACATACATATATATATTTGGCTTTAAAGGTTGTCTGGTGGATAATTGGTGTTACACATTTGCTAGCTACTGTTATATCCTCATTTTCTAGTAATTTTCTGGGTCTGTAGAGATGTGAGGTGGGAAAAGATAATGTAAAGAAAAGTTAGGTTTAACCTTCAGTGGGTTATTTATTTGTGATCTGTAGCAATATTATTCCAACTACCCTTATTTCTATGATGTTGATGAGAACTTGAGTCTTTCATTTATTCATACATCTGTGTTTGTTCATTTATTGATTATTTGAGTTAGGGCACAAGGCCATTTACAAACCTGTAGAGAGCAGAGAATTTTCCCCTTAAGGAACCTACAGACATATGGTTAATGGTATAAACCATTAACATCTAATCAGAATGATTATGTTTGATTTATTCTGTTAAATCCCCATAAGTAAAACGAGTCACAAATAAATGGTCTAGGAAAAACATTTTGCGAGAAAAATTCAGTTTCTGTACCTTGAGACTGGTACCTCTAGCTGTATGCACATATGCCATGAGTCTTCACTCTACAGATGCGGTCTCATACCTCTCGTGTCTCCGTCTTCACCAAAACCTTCTCGAAATTACCGGGTACTTTTCCTTCTGTTGTAGACAGAAGCTCCCTGCTTCCAGCTTATAGTAAACACTTTTACCCCAAGTCATTCAATAAACACCTACCGAATGCCTGCTATGACCTAAACCCTCTGAGTCTACTTTAGGCAAAAACAGTTTAGGGATTATAAATTATATGGATACTGACTATAATTTTCAATTGCATTTTTGGATGTCTTTTAACCCACAAACTATGCCTGTTCATTTGCCATCTGGCCTTTACTGAGATGTCTGAAGCATGCAACCACTTTTCAAAATAAGAAATCTAACAGAGGGTACGATGTCTCTTGAATATTCAAAAATTATATTACGGCAAGGAAAATGATGGATTTTTGACTTGGTTCTTCTCACGGGCTCAGAAAGGCTCATACCTTCAAGGTTTTTGAACTGCTAGCAACATTTTCATCAGGCCCTCCAGTATGCTCACTTAGGCCACTAATGGCGACATAGCTGACGGTAACCAAAGATATCCAATAACGGGAAATACTATGGGACAATCTTGAACTCTGAAGAGAGAACTTATTCTTTGAGCTGAGTCTGCCGCTTACTCCCTTGGGTCACAGTTTTCTCATGGTAAAAACAATAATTCGTCACGGTTAAGATTAAACGAACTTTAAGGTTCTTCTATCCCTAAATTACGAGGATTCTCAATGAGTTCTTTCACCAGCCACGCACGGCTCCTGAGCACTCGAACTGTGGCTAAGTCCGGACTGAGATGTGCTGCACGTGAAACATACACACCAGATTTTGAAGAGTTACTACAAAAAAATGTAAACTATACTGGCTATATTGGGTCAAATACATTACTAAAATGAATTTCACCCGCTGTTTTCTTTTAGAGTGGCTAGAGAAAATTTAAAATTGCTTTGTGTCTTGTGTTATATTAATATCGGACAGCAACACTCTAAAGAAGGTCTCGAAATCTTTCTTTAAGGACTTTTAATGTTGAATAGTCAACGTTTCCATATCGTGGTCCTCATACTCTTATCTGCCAAAAAGTAATAGCCCTGGCCTGGGCAGGTACTTACTAAGTTCGTCTTGGAGTTACTTTCTACACGGGCCTGACGTTCGACCCCTATGTCTCAACTATATCAGAACAAATGATCAGGAAATGCCCCAAAATGTCAAAAGCGATTATTTCTGGGTAGTGGAGTACTGAGTAATTTTTGAATTAAAACAAATTTTTTGTCTTCATCTTTCAGTCTTTCAATGAGGACCATTATGTTTCTTCATCAGAAAAATGCATATCTTTAAATTTCAGCATGAATGATTTTATAAATTCTCTAAACGTCACCAACATGTAAAAACTTAAAAGAAAATATCTCAGAATGCTTTACTCTGCATGTCTATATTTTCTATATCAAATAGGTTACTTCTATCAAGGGAAAAATACACCTTATTTAGAAACTGTAGTATCTACCCACCCTTTAAACCTTAAACCTAAATTAATTTGCATGATGATTTTCTTAGAACTGCCGAAGTTGTCATCTCTACTGTATTAGACCGAAGAGTAAATACTTTAGGTTTTAGCTTCAATTATGATGCTAATCACAGCTCTTTTAATATTTTTATAACTACCATCAAACAGAGCAGTATTTAGAGTCTATGCAGGAGGGGCGAAGAAACCCGAGAGGTATTTTAATGTGCTACTGTGTGCAGGGGTTTAGGTTGTACTGGGAAAACGCTCATCTAAAGGGGGGCCACTTACACCTGCATGCAGTCCAGGCAGCACACTCAGGAGGGGGTGCACACACACACACACTCACACACACGCACATACACTCACACACGCGCACACACTCTCAAACGAGTAAGGGGTGCTGTGCCCTGTCCCATTCCCACTAAGCATCGCCTGCAGTTGCTTTTCTCACCTGCCCTCTACTCTCAGAGGCCAGACTCACTACCTCGCCTGCTTCAGGTACCCTGGGGTGCACGCAGAGCTGTGGTGTGTGTGTGGAAAAGGCCAGGCACAAAGCCAGGTATGCTGTCTGCTCTGCTGGCTCTGGGAAGAGCTGGGCTTCTAAAGGCCTGTCAGGTATGTTTGTTTAACCTGGTGATGCTTTTTTTTTTCTTCTTGAAGAAAAGGGTCTTTTTCCAATTCCCGTGAGGCAACAGCCCTTTTGAAATATGGCACTTTTAAGCAGTGCAGCACTTACTGTTGGTAGAAAAGATGGCTTCTCCCTCCTGCGTGGTGAGGTCTGCATCCTGGACTACCTGCAAGGCGCCCACAGTCCGGACGGCAGGGTCCAAAGTGACTGAACTTTCATTTACGGTCGTGTCGCTTGCGCCTGTGATCTGGTTGGTTGGTGGACCCCCCAGGGATCCCTCGAAGTCGGTGGGCAAGTCGTCCATGCAGTCGGCATTGGGCTGGCAGGGGCAGAAAAGGACCCATGTTACTGCATTGTCAAGTTAGAGATAAAATGTCTATGGCCTAAACATCGTGTCTTGATGGAAAACCAAATTCTTTAGCGTTTTCTTCCTGAACCCCTTTAAAAATATATCACATACAGTTCCGTAGTTAACATGAAAACATCTCCCCAAATTTCCTTTGCAAAAGTTACATTTAGATCTAGACATAGGTTTTAATTCCAGGAGTAGCAATATCCATACATTAATATAATTACGTAGGGGGCATCACATGGCATTTATTTATAATAATATAATGATAGCCCTTCCTTATATAGAGTATTTACTCTTCATTTAGGAAGTAGCTGATAGCCTGATAGCTACCCTCAAAGACCCAAGGATTGTCTGCCGATGACATGAGAAGGGGACAGAATCTGACTCATTGTGAAATGTTCATCAGAGATATATGCAGACACAGACACAGACACACAGACACAGACACACAGACACAGACACAGACACACACACACACACACACACACACACACACACACACACAAAAGTATAGGGTGAGGCTATTTTGTTGTTAAACATAGCCAAAAACGAGCTATAGAATATAGTCCTACTTACTTAGCATACAACCGATCACACATTCATCAAATCCTCTAAATTAAAATCTTAGACTCACAAACTAGAGCAAGACCATCTAGTGTAATTAGCCACTAATTGCAGGACTTTTCCCCCCAATGTCTCAATGGCTCCATCCGAATCCCACAGAAATGGGAGCTCTCTGCTGTGCCAGGCTGCCTGTGTCGGCCGGCTGTGTCAGACTAGTCCATCACTGGGCAACGTGGCGAGCTTTACTCTCTGGTGTTAGTTCCGCTGTTTGAAGCAATATTGAATATATTTCTACCTCTTCCACGAACAGCTTTTTATTTTTTAATTTTTAGTTTTTCAATCTTTTTTTTCTATTTCAAAGGAGTTGGTTTAATTCTAGGCAGTACAGAATTCAGGACAGAACAGACTAAAGAACACACTTTGGCAGGATTCTGAGTTGGGCGACCTCACAGCTAAGGTTGAAATGGCCAAGTGAGAAGAATAAAAGAGATGAGCCACTGAATGATGATGACGATGATGATGACGATGATGACGACGATGATGACGATGAGGATTTAATTTTTACCAATGTTTATTCTTAAATGTACGACAGTCGCCAAGACAACACTTCATTCTAGCTATATGTGGCAACAGATGTTATGGCAGGGAATCCAGATGTTAAAACAGGCCTGGAATTTAGGATCACCGTTGCCCCAAGCACAAGGAACGGTTCACTTTTGCCCGATTTCTCAATTCCGCCTGTGGCCGGGGGTCTTCCCTGCAGCCTTCGCTTCTAGCCCCCTGAGCTGCTTCTGTTCCTCTTTTTGCTTCCGCCTGAAGGCCTTATCGTCCTCGTCCATCTCGCTGGCCTGCTTCTTGGGCTGCTTCGGGGGCTTCTTCCTGCCACCTTTGCAGCCGGATGAGGTGCCTGCCACCTCTTCCCCAAACCCTGCCACCGGAAGCCTGCAAGTAGCTTTTTAAATGACTGTTATACCTCTACCCAAATTCATAAACATTCTTTTAAAAAGGTGGTGATGGAGAGATGTGAGCTTGAAAATACTCATAGCTATTCATTATTCTTTTTGTTCTGGCCTGAACATCGCCATGGCCTTGAGTGACGATGATGAAATGGTTTTGCACTCTCCGTGGATGAAGATCAGGGTGGGCAGGAGTCGGTGGGATTCTGGGTTGACGTGACTGAATTCATGCCACAGGGACTACACAGTCTTCGAAGTTCATTGAGAGAGAAAATATACAACTTACGGAGTAACGGAGAGCACGACGCAGGAGATTCAAAGCGCTGGCCTCTTGCCTTAGTTTTCTACTCTTAACCAGTCTCCCGAGGGCCACAGCTGGCTTTCCAAGTCGGCTGGAAATGCCATCCTCCCACAGAACCCTCAATTTCAGCTCGCTCCCCTTTTCTCGGTGTTCCCTTTTCTTTTTGCCTTCTTCGTCTCTATGGAGAGTGAGTCAATTCACTGAAACTCAGGTTGTTGAAAGTCGATTCACCGAATATCCTGATTGCGACCCTGGCCCTGAGCAGTTCTGTTATGAACACTT